CCTCATCCACAGCCAGAAAGCTACAAGGCCTCCTTGTAACTTCCACCCACATGTTCTTTATCTGGTCTCTAGAGCCAAGGGGCCTATCTACTTCCTCACAAGTAGATTAAAAAGCACAGGAAGACTCAGAAAACAATTCAAAAATATTCCCTCAGGCACCCTAAAAAGTCTCTGTGTCCTTAATTAGAAGCTTGACTTTGGCCAATTCTGAACCTCATCCCTGGTCCCTGCCCTCAACCTTCCCCATCCTCCCTTTTCTGTTTAGTCCCATAATAATATCTCAGTATCTGCCTGAGTGTCTCTCTCACTGGACTATCAAACTCTTCTGTTAATGCTGCTGATTACTCATTTGTTATTTTTTTCCCTAATCATCACTGGGCTTCCAACACGCCCACTACCACAGAGATGGTGTTCAATAGCAGTTTGGTAAACAGCACAGACACCGATAAGTTGTTCCATGACCCCTCACCTTCCTATATTATTCACTACTTTCTGAGCATGACGCAGCTTGTCAATTCTTCGGTAAAATGCGGGGCCAAGAAATGATCATAATGCTCCACATGTGATCTGACCAGGACAAGGAGGTGATGCAACCAGCCTTGACGTCCACTGTGGTGGTCATTCAGGCTGTCCACCAATGTTCTCCCTTTGAGTACATGGATGACTGTGCTTTTCCACTCCTTGAAGTTACGTATGGCTAGGTAACTTGTTTTGGCCAATAAAATATGAACAGAACTGGCATGGCCACCTCTGAAGAGAAGTCTGCTTGATTAGCTATGTCCCCTCTGCCCTGCCACAGTGAGGGCAACACCTTAGATATGGAACCTTTGTCATCAGGCATCCTCCAAGGAAGAGGCAGAGCCCCTCCAACCCGAGATGGAGTGTAGCATGGGCAAGAAATAAAGCTTTAAAGTTCTAAACCACTAAGATTTTGCCTGCTTTCCTTCCTTCCTTCCTCCCTCCCTGCCTCCCTCCCTCTCTTACTTTCTCCCTCCCTCCCTCCTTCTCTTTCTTTCCTTCCTCCCTTCCTCCCTCCCTCTCTTCCTTCCTTCCTCCCTCTCTTCTTTCTTTCCTTCCTTCCTCCCTCCCTCTCTTCCTCTCTCTTTCCTTCCTCCCTCCCTCTCTTCCTTCCTTCCTCCCTCCCTTCCTTCCTCCCTTCCTCCATCTCTTCTTTCATTCCTTCCTCCCTTCCTCCTTCCCTCCCTCCATCTTCCTTCCTTCCTCCTTCTCTCCCTCCCTCTCTCTCTTCTTTCCTTCCTTCTCGTAACATGACCTACCCCATCCTGACTAATACAGACATCACACACACACACACACACACACACACTGTATCATTTTCTATGTGGCTCACTGCTTCCCCCAAAGCTAAGAAGTGACAAGGACGTCAATGCCTACCCCCAAGGCACAGGTCCACAGCAAGTGCAAAATGGCCTTAGCTTAAAATGCCTTATGCATTTGAGATCCTGGTCCACATGGAATCTCTGTGCCACCGTACACACAGGTTTGTACAACTGGTTGAGAAGATGAAAACGGGATTGGCTTTTATGGTAGATCACGACTGCCTTACTTTGACATAAGTGTCAAAAACTCTTTTTCTCCTTCCAGTACTTTAGCACAGAAACTGTTGTTTATACTTACGTGTTTCTTTTCTTCCTTTCTGCATACAAGGTTCAAATTTACATTTGGCCCTTTAAAATGTCGATTTCATTCTCAGCCAAAATGGAACTGTTGGAGATATCTGACAGGCCTCAACATCTGCAAATCCCCAAAGCCTGGCATACTATTGGGAACATGCACAGTGCTAAGACAGTTTGTGATTCTTCACCCAATGCACTGCTCTGCCACCCAGATCCCACCACACACCACCTCTGCAGTGGCCCTCTGGGCCCTCATCAAGGTCACACATTACACTGAAGTCACAGGGCACCCAACGAACAATTAAAATCCATCCAGAGAAACTGTTTCAAGGCAATGGTATATTAACAACTGGTAGGCAAAAAATTTTCGTGCTCAAATAAATTTGGGAAATGCAGGTTAAATAAGCAGTCTGTCTCTACATGTGGGTTTCTCAATGCTTTCTTCATGTTACTGATCATCCAGAATATTTTAGGGGGTGGGGGAGGGTGCACATGAAGAGGCATAACAGTGGTTAGCAACCCACTTAACCTAAAAATTATTTTTTTAGTGCAGCATTCAAGAGAAATTTCTTCAGGCCATATGTTTGAGCAAAACTGCCACAAAGGTCCTTTTTTTTCTAACCCTCCTGGAGTTCTAAGCCCAAACTTAGAAGCAAAATGAGAAGGAAGTAGGCCTGTTGAATACCTACCACGTGACACGGACTTTGCATATGTTCTTCCATTTGAACAACAAACCTGTGGGGTAAGCTATTTGTATCTCCATTATACAGATTGGGTAAATGAAGCTTCCTAAGAAGCTCTGGTGGTGTAACGGTTAGCTTAACCGAACGGTAGATGGTTTGAACCCACTCAGCAGCTCCGTGGGAAAAAGACCTGTCCATCTGCTCCCATAGAGACTTAAAAAAAAAAAAAAAAAATCGCTGTCAAGTTGATCCCAACTCACGGGCCAGGGTAGAACTGCTCCATAGGGTTTCCAAGGCGGTAATCTTTACAGAAGCAGACTGCCACATCTTTCTCCCATGGAGCTGCTGGTGGGTTTGAACCTCCAAACTTTTGCTTAGTGGCCAAGCGCTAACCACTACGCCAGCAAGGTTCCTCTCCATAAAGATTACAGCCTAGAAAATCCTACGGGGCAGTTCTACTCTGTCACATGTGGTCACTATGAGTCGAAGCTGACTTGATGGGACCTAACAACAACAAGGTCTGAAATAGAGCTGGCATTTCAACCCAGGAATGCCTCCCTCCTCAGGCCATGTTTTCCCCTCTAGCCCTTTCAGCTCTGAGATAAATTTACTTCAGAACTTAACTATAATTCTTCAGTAGTTATTTATTTTTAAAAGAATATCTCTTTTCAGTCTTACACAATCCCCTCTCTTTACTCTTTTATACCTTTCCGTGTCATTCCCCCAGGTAAAGGATAGTAACAACTTCCCTAGCCCATATGCCCTGGGCTTCCTCCCCAACATCTGTCCAAGGCTTGGGGTGACTTGAAACTTACACAGAAGGGAAATACACATGACCAAAGAAATCATGGCACATACCCTGCCCCCTCCCCATTCTCAACCTCTCACACAGGTGCTTCCTTTGCTTCACACTACAATGATTTACAGACAAAAGTTGAAATATTTTCAACATTGTAATTTTCAATAAACGGTTATGAGAAAAAAAAATATGACAACGGTCAAATGCTCTCTTTCCATATTCTAGCAACCTCTTGTCGAGAAAACAGTGTTATTTTCCTATTTCACATTCATTAACTTAAATCGTTTGGTCTGAATTAGAGTTATTTATTTTCACTCCATTTCTCTAGAAATAGAAAACTAGAAACAAAAACAAACGAAATAAATAAATAAACGAAAGCTTTGCCAAAAAGGCCAGGAGGAGAAATGGATTATTTCAAGGGAAAGAATACCAACCTGCGGCCTCATGAGGTCATCCCCCATGACAGTTTGTAGATGACCGTGAAAGACCGCAAACATGTCCAAAGGCACAGTTGGCAAAGGGGAAGCGACACAATTAGTTGAGATTGAAAGAATTCCCTTTAGGCAAGAGGAAGGCAATTTTGCATAAAGCTAATCATTGAATCCATCTTGACATCCTTGACCATCCTAGCTCACCCTCTAGAAATGTAAAATATTCCAATCCATTTTGTTAATTGGATGGAGGTCTGTCTCTCTACCCTCTTCTAACGTCTCTCTCCCTCCCATCCTTCCCATCTCAGAAAACTGTCAAAAGCAATTTCCTTTCCTCTAGGTTGAAGTTATTTTTCTGGGGCTTTAATGAGGCACATTTCTCAGATGTCATCTACAAATATTGAGACAGATTCACATCAATTCAATTCAGTGAGCCTATATTGATTAGCTATTATGAGTCCTGCATGAGGCTAGGCATTTGAGTGGACATGGGCTAAGCCAGCGATTCTTCTGCCCTTAAGAAAGTTAGAATCTAGCATAAACAAGGATCAGAAGATGCACACTTGGATCTTTTTAAAGTTCTGTCTCTTTATTAACAAAATCAAGATAATAATATTTGCCGTGTCTACGTCACAAGGAGATCATGAGACATAATAAAATAAAGTATGTAAAATATGAGCAAGAAGGAGGAACACATCTAGTGCAAAAGGTTAAGAAACACAGTGTGAATGAAAGATTGAAACGTAGGCATTTTCAAAATACAAAAGCTGACTGTCTATAATGTCCACATATAACATTAGTTTCTTATACTTTAAAAAAAGTTCTTCGTTCTTTTTGTCTTGGCATTCCCTGAATGGGAAGAATAAACCAAGTAAAACTAAACGAGATGAACTGAAAATAAACCCTAAACCCTCATTTTTCTTCTCTGATGGATAAAATTTTGAGTTAAGTTAGATCTGATGTAAATAAACAGAAGTCTTTCCATTTGTTGACAGTATTCATCTGGCCCCCAATACAATGCCAGCTACATCTTAAGGGAATTGAACTGTGATTTCCAGGTGTAGACATTCAAAATTAGCACTAAACCAATGAAAGGTAACATGAATAACTGAATATTCTAGCTATGCACAATTAAGTTATAATCGTAAGCATGTGAGTATTAGATTCAAAATACAGTAAAATCACTCATGAGTTAAATTGAGTTAGTAGCCTCTAAAATTCTGCTTTGATTGCTTTTGCATCCCAAACAACTGTAATGGAAACCTTCCACTTCAGGAGTCTGAAGGACTTAGAGAAGAATTCCTTTAATAACTGCGTTAAAACCTCAATAAAGAAGACTCTGCCATTCAACAAAAGTTAGGCCAAAGGTTTGCTCGGCGTCTCTAAAATCAAAACCAAAAAGCTCATCCTGAAATTATTTCAAACATATATTTCATCTGAAAAGACCAACCAGAGTACAGAAGATGCATTGGCACTGGGCTATTGTTGTCATCTGCTCCACCGGATACTCCCCGAGACAGAGTTTGCAAGACACCAGTGGGTCGAGGGCCAGGTCCCATGTGGGCCGGTACCTTGCTGTGGTCATTGCAGCACAGTCTGAAAGGAGAGAAGCACAGAAGGTCACACTTTCCCACTCGTGGCCTTCACCTAGAACCAAAGGCAGGGAGCACATTCTTTTGGCTGTAGCTGGGGCCCAAAGACGTGGTCAACTTCTTTGTTGCCTGAGCTCAGGATGTCAGAGACAACTCGTTTGATCCCTCTGACAAGTTTCAGCAGAGATCTCTAACTTGGGTCTAGTGGTCATTTCTTTTACCATTTTGATGGTAACTTTCACATCTATCCTCAAAGTGACAAACAACCCACCCCATCCCCATCTTTTCCTCCCTCTCTCCAATGTGCATGTAGTAAGACACCTCCTACAAGCCATGCACCCAGTCCAGATGAGCAAAACCTCAGAAACTGTGGGAGAGATGTTTTTATTAAAATAGTAGTTGATTAGATTGAGTTCTTCTCCAGTTTCTGTTGTGGAAACATTGCAGGGAAATTAGTCAGTGAAGCTCTTCCCCGTCATTCCTCTCTGCCTCTGCCCTTTCGATGCCCCTGCATATGAAACACATCTTTCTACAACTGGCTTCCATCTATGCCACCCAAATTTTACCTGACCTACCAGAAACAGCTGAAATACTACCTTCTTCCTAAGCCTTGGCAGATTTGCTAGAATGTAAACTTCAGAAAGGCAAGGATCTGTGGCATATTTGTTCACTTATGTGGGCCAAGTGCATCAAACAGTGCCTGGCATATAGCAGATACTCAATAAATATTTATTGAAACAATCCTCACTTCTTCCTCCCCAAATATTCTCTGACCACATATAACTCAGGAACGGCCAGTTTTCCCGCAACACCATGTATTTTTCTATTGCTATTTTTATTACACTTCATTACAACTGTTTGGTGAATTATCTGTCTCCTGAACCAATCAGCAAGTAAGCAATGGGAAGACAGGTAAGATACATTTCTCCAGTTCGTAGCTCAGCATCTGGCCCATGCTGGGCTCCTAATAATTGTTTGTTAATTGAATAAACAAATCCTTGCATCTAGGAATATTGATTCTTACTTGGAAGCCATTGGCAATTGATTTAAGCCTATGTCACGTATTTTGTAACTGCAATAATTATGAATGTGTTTTATTATATTGGATGTGTTTTATTATACTGATATTCCTTGCATCTCAAATTATGCCTCCAAAACTCAGGACATACTGAGATTGAGATAATATTTCAGATAAATACCTGACTATCTGAATGCTCACTACTCTCTTTCCAAAATTCAAGATCCAAATTGATTTAGATAACTGGGTAACCGTCACTGTCTAAACTCCCTCTCCAAACTGAGAAACTGAACAGATTTGAATAACAATAGACATCTGTAATCCCTACTAGTTTGTGAGGCTTTGAAAAACAGGACCTGTCTCATCCAACTTCATACCTTACAGCGGAGGGCTGTATACATAACAACAAACTTACAACAAATGGAAAAAGAAAGCAAAACAAAACTTCAACCATCGACCTGCAACATACACAAAAAGTCACTAGGATCTTGAGGGGTACTCAAAGATGTCTGAGACACAGTTCCCACCTTCAGATCTTCAGATGCAATTCAGGAAAACGTTTTAGTAAATAAAATGTCAGCGATAATACAAAGGAGTATGTGATTATGTGTCAAATAAGTGCTAAAGATACCTGGAAATGACAAGAACAAGCATGGACTAGCGTAGTCAGAAAAAGCTAAATGATGAAGTGAGTCTTGAGTTTACAGGAGAGGTTACATTTCACACAGAGGAAAAGGAAGTGGGTAGCAAAACAGAAGGAAGAAGTATCCTAACATCTCTCCTCATTGGACAGCAGGGTGTGGAGGCAACACAGTGGGCAGAACAAATGCTGAGATTTGTGATCACACAGATCTACATTTCAAAACGAACTCTGTCCATGACTACCATCTTCCAGCCTCTCCTTGGAAATCCTATGGGGCAGCTCTACTCTGTCCTATACGGCCGCTATAAGTTGGAATGGACTCAACAGCAAAGGGTTATATATATATGTATATGTGTGTATGTATGTAAGTATATTATTGTTAGTTGCCGCTGAGTCGATTCTACTCATGGCAACCCCATATGTGCAGAGTTGAATTACTCCACAGGGTTTTCAAGGCTGTGACCTTTCAGAAGCAGATCACTAGGCCTGTCTTCAGAGGTGTCTCTGGGTGGGTTTGAACCGCCAACCTTTCAGCTAGTAGTCAAGTGCTTAACCATCTGTGCTACCCAGGGACTTCTATATATATACATATATCACACTTATCTTTTACGCACACACCCACATGTATAGATAGTTTTAATTTACATCACCTTCTCAAGTTTTGTCAGTCAGAGCTCACTGGATAACATTAAGCAAATATTTACTTAGAACAAATCACTTGCTGAAATCCGCTCAGGGAAGTCTGCAAGACAAAAGATAAGTGTGATCCAGAAGGAAGAGACTTCATGATATTGAAAACTCATAGTGGAGATAAGACATAATGATACATGAAAAAAAGTAACATGAGTGACATAAAGGTAATAGGGAGGAAGCCCTAGACAATAAGAACTCAAGGATATGAGGGGAATTACTGAAGGCCTCGTGGTACCTGAGCCAGGTGGAATATGGACTAGGAGTGAGTTTGGAAAATCAACACTCAGGGCAGAGAAAAGGGGCAGAAGCAAGAAGAAATTGTGCCTCTTTCCAGAACAGTTAATGACTATAAGTAACTTAGTCAAAAAAAGTATATTTTCCATTTTTATCAAAGGATGCTTTGACACAAACTCAAATAATTTTTGGATGGGTTGAAGTCTTCAAGGTAACTTAAAGAAGCCCCGTAATTTGACCTCACACCACGGGCTCAGAATGGTCAGATGATTTGTGGGATCACAC